AGATGATAATTGCCTACCCCATGTGAATATTGTGATTCCTAAGTTCTGATTAACACTGGTAGAAAACCCTTGCCATTTTACAGAGTAAGAAGGGTGTCGTGGTTTAAGGCCAGTTGGCAACCCAGAAAAAAAACACACAGCCTGCTTGCTCACTCCCCCCCACCTCCCGGAGCGATGGGGAGGAGAATCAAAAGATTGTAACTCCCATGGACTGAGATAAGAAGAGTTCAGTAACTAAGGTATAACAGAAACCACTGTTGCTGCCACCAATAATAATAATGATAAGGGAAATAACAATGGGAGACAATACAACCACTCACCACTCGCCAACTGATACCCAGACTGACCGAGCAGTGATCTAACCCTTCCAGGTAACTGCCCCAGCTTATATAGTGGGCATGATGTACTGTGGTATGGAATACCTCTTTGGCTAGTTTGGGTCAGGTGTCCTGTCTCTGCTTCCTCCTGGCTTCCCCTCCTCCGTGGCAGAGCATGAGGCTCACAAAGTCCTTGGTCAGAGTAAACATTACTGGGCACCAATTAAAAACATTGGTGTTATCAGCACTGTTCCCAGGCTGAAAGTCAAAACCACAGCACTGCACCAGCTACTGAGAAGGAGAAAAATGACTGCTACTGCTGAACCCAGGACAAAGGGACACTCGGAAATCTGAAAATCAGGATTGCAACCCAGCTTCTCCGTCCATACTGCCTTTCATTGCTTGAACATCACACTATTTCTTTTAATACTTGAGCATCCAGTCTGTTGAATTCCACAATGTTTGGGTTTGGGCTTTTTTCTTTTTTTTCACAAGAAGAATCATTATTCATAAATCTGAACATATTTTTATCTTCACACACCGCATGTAAGTTCCTCTCTATACAGCCTGAGAAATGGTCTCCTTCCAAAGGTTACTGAAAAGGTTCTCAAACAAAAGTGCTATTCTTACTTGAATACATCTCAAGCCTCTATTACAATTACTACTTTGGATTTCTGTATCACTTACTACTTAAGTGGTTTACAAGCAATTATAGATTAAGTTTTCCAGAGTCTCTTGGAAGGAGCATTTCCTGACCTGCTTGGCAGAGAGAAATGGAGCATTGGAGAGGATGAGATCCTGGTCTACAACATGCTGAACACCCATCTCCATGAAGCCCAGAAAGGAGGCTGCTCTGCTGGTAATCTGGCCTTGTACCTTAGTGAGGCTTGTATAGTAGGAGAAGCAAAAAGAGGGAGAGAAGTACATGGAGTGGTGAAGGGAGTGTATGCAATAAAGTAGATAGCACATAGTTAATCCTCGCTATGGGTGGAGAGCTGGAAACAGGCTCTGCAGTGCATACATACAGCTGCTGTACAAAAACTGAACAATATCAATTTAAACACTGTTGAACATGAGGGGAGCCAGGGGTGGCCACGAGGGGAAAGGCTAAGTAATTGTTCAGTGCTGCTCAAACTAGCAGCACTTAGAAGCTGGCATACACTGATTGAACTTTCCCTGGCTAGGTGATGTGAGAGGGTGAAGGGGATAGAGGAAACTACTGAAGTAAACTACAGCAGTGCACAAGGAAAACCAAAGAGTTTGAGCTGAACTGGCTAATTTTTGCTTATGTTAGTATAGGTTTATTACACCATGTGCATACTTCAAGCCTCCTTCAGGTCATAAGTCATTCCCGAACATGGTCTGTTTAACAAACTTACATTGTCATTTAATAGATGTTGAGTTTTCTTTCACTTCTTTACTTTGGCAGAAGGTGTGTACATACTGACAGTACATTAGAGTTATCTCTGGTCCAAGCCTAGCTCTAGCAAGTACATTCCCTCATTACGGCTCTTTCTGTGTTACTGTTCCCTCAACCTCATATGCAGAAAGGGAAATGCTCCCTGACAGATGTTAAGGGACTAAAAAAGAGATGCATATGCCACAGCAAGAGGGTCTGCCTTGAGGAAAGAGCTCCTCAGAGACAGAACAGTAAGGCAGATGCTGTGGAGTGCTCTCATCAGCATCCTGACCCAACTGGCAGATTCACTCTGGAAGGGACAGGCTCAAGTCTGAGCTGAAGCACAGCTGGGATTTTAACCCAAAAGTCTGACTGTGCAAACAACAACTTTTAAATGCAAGTATTCTTGTTAGTCCTTCAGGAGTTCAGAGAGGCACTGGGCAAAATCACACGTAGGAGTATATATTAAGACCACAACACCAACAAATTTGAGTGGTAAAGATGAAACAGAAAGGATTGCCTTCAGATGCATTTTCATTGGTGGTCTGTAACATGTTTTATAGTCAAGAGTACTAAACAGAAGCACAAAGTTCTTGTTTCCTTGCATTTTCCTTAGCAGTACTTAACATGCTACAGCTACTCACACTGTACATCGATTCCAGTATTTACCCTGAAGTTGTAAAGGTCGCTAAAAACAGGTATTAAAAAGCAGAGTGCATAACATTTCTGGATGTCTTTACTCAGGTAGAGTGGTAAATGACTGGTGCTGTTAAACAAACATGCATACCTATACACATAAATGATAAGGTGCTTAAGAAAAACCACCAAATGCCTTGTGATAAAAAAAAAAAAAAAAAGATCTAGTCAAGATGGTAACTATAGTCAAAGGTTTCTGGAAGTAGAAGCTGCCTTAGTATTTTATCTATGTCATATTTCACCAAACTTTGCTTAGGTTTTAGAAAGAGCTAAGCCTCACACAGAAAAAACAGTGGTCTTGAAGATGTGAGAAGTTCCAGATACCCACAGATAGTGAGAGTTTATCTAGCAGGAAATCATTAGGAAAGCAGCTTTACCATATCCCCTTCCCCTCTCTGTTTCACTCATCTCTCAACAAGACATTTCCTGCTATTTGCCCCCTTGCACTCCTACTCCTGTCAAGCTGTAACATCATTCATCTTCTGCAGAGCCACTTCTCCCTTCACTTAAGTTTCTGGCAGCCAGTTTAACTCAGTGTTGTTGCACTGACTTAAAGGGGACTACAGGATCCTAAGCCAGATATGTACCTTATCCTGCATATAATATTTCAAGTATTGAAAATAAACTGAATCCTTCTATGTGAGATACTCCATTAGGATCAACCCCAGTTCAAATCTTTTTATTGAAGTAGTATTACTACAAATCAAATATGCAGTGCCTCTGCAACCGTGCCCTAAATTATAGACTTGAAAATGAAATTGATTTCTAATTTAAAATATTCTTCCAATTCCTGGAAGTCTAAAGGAACTTGTATGGAATGGAGCATCACCAACTTCTCTAGTATCCATTTAGAAGTGAATGTCTACCATTTGTCACCAAGTTTTTACAGCTTTATTTAGATACACACTCTATATACCAAGACAATGCCATTTTCCTGCAAAATGAGATGTTCTTAAGTCAACTGCAGAGAGACAGAACAGGTGAGCAATTCAAGAAGGGCAAGGCAGCGGCATGGAAAAAGTGGCAGGAAAAGACCAAGACTGGATACACAAGGTACGGCACCTAATCCACCTTTAGTAACTGTGACAAATGTCCTTTTTATCACAGTGCACTCATCCTCAGAAAAGGGCAATGTCATCCACAGAGCTGATTTTGGCACACAGAAAATGTGCAGAATGATGTCTCCAATCAGCCATACACTTACCTGTCAATGCAGCCTCAAGTCGTGTTTTAAAAATACAACTGCCCCCCCTTCTGGCCAATAAAGACTCCCAAAAGTGGCTTTGTAAGGTGAATTTCAGGTGAATTTTAAAATGCAGTTTAATTTATAAAAGTTAATTAGACTTGCTTTGGGATATAAACTCTCAGTTGAAGCACAGAACTTCCATTAAGTTTCAAAATATTTCTACACTTATTTAGAAAAAGTGAAGATTTTCCTTTGCTTCTGTAATGCCATATTCTGGGATAAATATGTTCACCCATTGATTTCTCAAGAAGGTGTGTAACAACTCTGGATATTATTTGGTGTCACAGGGCCAGGCTTCTCATAAGTCTCTGGACACACAAGGGCTCACTTGGTCGGGAGGGGTGCCAGCTCAGGCCACTGAAACTGATACAGTGATACCCGTGATGTATCTGCCATCACAGTGAAACACTGTTAGAGCCAAACCAGGCTGCTTTAGGTGGTCAGTCACCTGGTGGGTCGTTCTTCCATCTAGATAACCAATTCACAGATAATAGTAATGGAAAAACCTCAAGGCCTCAATTTATAGCTTGGAAGCAACATACCCATTTATAGGCCATCTGGGTAACAGCATTCAGTAAGAGGTCAAGCAGCCAAGACTGAGAAGCAGCACAAAGCTTCTGTACAGGTCAAATCTTTTCAATCCAGAAAAGCATGTAATTTTAGAAAGCAAACCCTGGGTTTTCTCCTCTCTTCCTGGTAGGGAATTTTTATTATTCTGTTATTTTATTTTTCAGTACAGTTCCTGTATCATTTTCCTGATTCTGAAATGTTAAATTGTAATATAGAAAAGGCGTTCTGTTTTTTTTTCCTAAATAATTACTCCTAACTGGTACAGTAATAAAGACAAGACAGAAAATGCCTGCACAACCAGTATCAGTTTAGTGAAGCCTCAGTGAAAATTCACAGCAGAAATTGAAACCGAAGCAACACTGAAAGACCCCGCTAACATGTGCTGTGCAAGTATTTTGTACTGATAGCTTTTTGGTTTTTTTAAAAGGAATACTAGCAAACAGGAGAAATATTACTTAAAAAAAAAAAAAGAAAAAAGCATAATTGTGTGCTACAAAATTTGATACCAATGAACAAATTACCTCTAGGCTTTGTCCTCACCATCGACACATGGAGAGGTAGATGAACTACATTGCTTAAATGGCAAATCTGAGGTTTAAATCAAAATGATGGCTGATTTTATGAATTTGACATATCTGAAGAGCCAAGCATTTGTCTGATACATGGTCGTTAGCACACCTACATAATTAATATTATGTCCTGTGAAGTCCTCTACTTTAACTGCTACAATTCTTCTGCAAGAAAAGTTAAGTAACAAAAAGCATGAAAGTACCTGATTAATTATCTGTTGTTGCAGTTTTTCTCCAGACTCTGAAAGAAAAAGAAAATAATTACTTTGTACTTATTTTACGGAATATGACTGTGTACATACAGAACAAAAACCAGTGAATTCAGGAAAAAAAATAAAATAAACCCTTATAATTGAGAAACAGAATTTAACATGTACAAATGACTTGAAACTTCCAACTGGAAATCCACCTAAACTAAAACAGAAGACCCTCTTAATCAATATGTGATAAGAAGAACAATAAGATAGATAGACAACCTTGCTAACCTGGAGTCTCACACTAAATTACAACATACAAAATGAAGACAACAGATTTTAAATATGTGCTATGAATTATCTCAATGCTGTGAGATGCACTGCTGCATGCATATGTACCTAAGAGACTTAGCATCCAGCTCAGGTTTTGACCATTGGAGGAGAAAAGCAGCTTCTGCCATGACCCTAAAATAAAATTACATGCCTATGTCAAGACTGAGGTTAGGCACCAGCTGGCTCAAAGGAGAAATTCTATCCTGATAATATTCACAAAGTGGCAAGCTGAATTATGGTCTTGCTTCCTTATTCTGACTGCCCTCTAAAGTGTCCTTCAGTGTGCTCCTGAAGACATGCTCAAAGCCTGGACAAAACATTGCTTTTCTACAACCATCAGGACCCCAGGAGCAATGACACCTCAAACCTATTATTTCTTTTTAGATCAAAAGGGATAGTAATTTTGCCTCATTTACTGCTTCCATGCACTAGTTGTCAGAAGGGGCAGCTGGTATCAGTTACCCTCCCTTTGCTGCTGGAGACCATCCACATGTATTGGGGAAAGTCAGGAATTTCACACTTACCTATCCAGCTAGGCTACGTGTACTGAGAGGGTTTTTTTGAGTAATAATGATAGGACACAGTTTACAACCTGTCAGTATCACTATTAACTGTCAGGGGACCCTGCCCAGCATGGGTGGCTGCCACCTCCAGCACTGGAAACGGTACTCCATTTCAACAGGATTTTTTCATTCAAATACTTGTGGCACAAGACAGAATTTTTAAAATGAGTTGAAAATATTGTGTTAAAATACAGTGTGGAGACTCTATTTAAAGTAAAATTATATTCCTTACTTGTCCCAGAGAACACTCCTCCTCTCAATGAAAGCTTTACAAATAATTCAAATAAAGACAATAACATTATAAAATTGTTTCTTATGATAATTATTTCCTGCTTGTTTGTGTTGTGCTTTTATTTGCTAAATAAAAAAAAACAACAATCCAACAACAAACCCCATGATTTTCTGGCTAAAAAAACAAACCCAAACCCACCAAATTATCATTTAGGGAATAATTGTTAAAATGTTTTTCCTTGTTCATTGACTTCATCATTGGGAGAAATAGAATTGATTCTTATAACTAACATTTTAACCAGATAAATTGTTGGTAATAGAAGATTAAAGGAATATGTGTTTTTAGCATTGTCTAATGATATACAAGTTCCCAGGAAAGCAGAGTGTTTGAAATCTTTGGTTAGATCAACCCTATTTTGCTCAAAGGTTTGTGGACTTTGAATACTGATGCTTTCCTGTTTCTCAGTACATTTGTTTTTAGGCTATTTTGATTCACTTTAAAGGAATTTTAATAACTTTCTGTTGACAGCATGGACAGCTGGTCTTGAGAATTAGTGAAAATTCACTTGCTGACTGAGGAAGGAAGTGACATCAATGAGTTTCTAAAGACAGCCCTGGGGAAAAAGTGTGCTCCGCCAGAGTAGCCTTTCATGCCATTGTGTTTCCAGTGATGCCTCAAGATGCAAATAGCATTATCAATCAAACTTGTGGTTTCTACCTTAGACAAATATAAAAAATGAACAGAAGATTGGGAAAGACCTTTGTGGTCATTTCTGACACTGCTGAGGAAAAGGTGAAGAAGAATTTATGGTAGTTTTTTCCTTGTTCACTCTTAGTTCTTTCTTTTGGTGATTTAAATACTACAGTATCAAGGAGAAGGCAGTTGCAGAAGTGTCTGTATGATATACCAGTAATGATGACATCAGTTAAACAGGACAGAGATTGAATAGGCTGCTAAGGACAGAAGAGAGATCAAATTCAAGGTCACCAGCAAATTGAATACCGTGTTCTCCATTTATTCACTAGATGATCCTTGTCCTCATCACAGAACAAGTATGTGAATTTGGCATAGTCAGCAGCTGTGCTCAGAAGAGACCAAGGTTTGTAATAAAAGAGATGCTGCAAATTAAGGTGGAAATACATAGGCACCATTTCATGGGGAAGCCTGTAAAGTCCTGGTGTGTACTGTACTTTTGTTTTAGGACAAAAGCTACAAAAGCAGTGAAAAAACATGACTACTACCTACAGTGCTGAAAGCAGGTTCAGTTTCCAGCTGATGGCTAACACTGGGGCAGTAGAAAGTTTTGTCATTGAAAGTAGCCAGAATTCTGTTTGCCCTGATTTTTTTTTTAATTATTATTATTTTATTTCCCAGAATTCTCTTGCAATAATTAGTTACTGTTCTGTGTTGTTGTTTTTTATGTCACCCTCAGTTTTCAGAAGGATGTTTCTCTTGTACCTTGTGCATGCTTGTGAATCATAGGGAATGCGTCAGCATTCGCTATGGGGATTCAAGAGAGAGCGCTCCAAGTTCGGAAGACATGAGGCAATGGGATGCTGATAAAACCAGAACTGTCAGAACATGTCTGTCACTCCCACAGACAACACCTGTATTAGTCTCATGAAATGCACGTAATTCTTGAGACAGGAGTTTTATGACCAGTAGACCTACACATGCTAAATTCAAAATCTACAACTGTTTTTTCCAGAGCCACTGCAATGAGGTAGCAGCTTATGCAAGATGAATGGATGCATGAGCATCAAACTACCTGGGAGATTTACTGCTATTTGGACATGTATATGGAAGCTGCCCAGCAGAGCGCATAGTCCAAGAGACACACCTGCAACTCAGACCGCATGCGAATGGCTTGCTCTTATCCTGTATTTCGCCAGTAACTTCTTTTTTTCTGTCATCTGGAAAACTGTTCCTAAATGAGCTCAACAGTGCCATATGACCAGCCTTGAAAGTGCAAGCAAATCAAAAGACCTTAATTATAGACAAGTATACTTTACTGATGCTTTGAGTCAAAAGATCTATCTACCAGGACAACTACGATTCTGATTTGCTGAGGCTCTGCTCTCCTTCCACTCTGAGGCTAAACTGATGCAACTGGATACTGATGATTTTTTTGCATCAGGACTGGAGAATCAGACCTCCCCCATTAAGTTTTAGTGATTTTCTCTTGTTTCTCCAGTTGTAAAAAGTCTAAAGGATGGTTAAGATGGTTGAGACAAATGGCCTTCTTGGGCTGATCTCAAGCTGTATCACTTTAGAAAGAAAAAACTTACAGCAAATATTCTTTAAAAGATTTCTCTGTACTGCTGTATAAGCAGTATACTAATTCCTGTTTCCAGGGCAAGGTTTTTTTTTTTTTCATTTTTTTCTTGCTTGTTCTTTTTATGAAGATTAACTTATTGAGAGTCATAATGTATATTTTCTAATGTAACTGACCACTGGAAGACACAAGAGTGTGCCATAACCAATGCTGCCATGAGGATCTGCAACACTGACTTCTCAGCCTTACGCACACAACCTACAGGAGAACAACATGTAATTATGCACACTATGCCCTGCTTACTCCCATACAAAGGAATGTGATATTTGTGCAGGTTTACAGATTAATCTGCTGTAATTCCTTTTAATGTTAAACTACTTCCAGCTCAAATATAATTAAGATCACCAGGTACAAAGGATTCAGATTGGAAATATGAGTACACTCCAAGAACACAAATAACAGCTTGATGCTGTTTCTTATGTTCAAATGGTTGGATACATTAAGGATTTTGACAGCATGTTTGTTCCCTAAGTATGTAGCAGAAGAAAAAAAAAAAAAGAGGCTTAATTTCAAAAGGCTGAACACTACTACTGCATTTAATTAGAGTGTAAAATCCCCTAAACACACAGATCTGCCAATTTATGTGACGTGACTGCTACAAGTCCTAGCAACAAAGGATTTCTTTTTCTTCTTTTTTCTCCCTAAAATCAAATCCCAATTTATACTTTAAGCAACCATCATCAACATCAATAAAATGAAGGCTTTGGAATAAAAAGTTTGTTTCCTAAAGTCTTCAGATAGCCCTACTAATATTTGTGCCATGGCAGCAAGGCAGGAGGTGAATGGAATAGAAATTCTGGGTTTGTCTCCCTGTTCCCAAGAGTCTAAGGGCTTCAAGCAGACAACAAAATTTGGGGAGAATTCCAGGGGCAAAGGGGACCCTCAGCATTGCTTTGATACAGCCATATGTATAGTCTGAAGCAGCCATAGGTCACTTAACTGAAAGTGGGAATGGCACTACTAAGAAATCAGTTTTGAAGAGGGAATTTGATACCCTAGTATCAGCTTAAATTTGTTTTCCCAGTTTATGACAGGAACACTAACAGCTCTGGATGTTACTTTATTTTTACAGACCTAAATAAACACATATGATGCCTATTTGGTTATGATCCACCCCACTTTCATTACTGGTTTCCTAATCTACCAGAGCAGATTCTGAGAGGTGAAAGGAAACCATAGCACTCATTCATGACAAACTTTTGCAGCAATTTTCCATGGTACCAGAGCCTGAGGATGAAACACTCAAGATTTGTTTTTCAGACGAAGGTGTGACACTAACAGATTATCTTCCATGAAAGCCTGTAAGACGGCACACAAGGATTAAAATATTTAGGCCAAAATCATACATTTCCTAGAAATTATCCTCAGAATCTCCAAGATCTGTAAACAATACAGCTCCTGCAGAAGTGTGTAGCATTTCCTCCTCTTCTAACAAGGAATTCAGAAAACTGAAATTGCTCATTTATAGCACTGCCTTCAAAATGTTGTTTGGCTTACTTTTGCACCTCTGTGATAATTATGCAACTGAATATGATTACAGTGGCCTAAAATGTATTAATCACATCTTCACGGTATTGCATAATC